TGCCAGCTCAGCGCTCATTAGTGGTCAAAAAAGCACATTGCATGTTAGGGACTGTCAGGGAAGGGGCAGAGTGGGGAGCTGCTGGAAGCCAGGAGCCTGTGTTACAGAGAAGCCCCGTGTTTCCTGCTCCTCCCGAGGCAGCTGCCTTTGCCACCGCTGCGGACAAGCCACTGGGCTGAGCATCGCCAGGCTGCCTTGGGCGCTGCCTCCATTTGCTCAGCCCCCCGGCCCCAGGCACCGCACCGCCTCCACATGTGTCCCCAGCACATGTCGTGCCCCGACTCCTCACCAGGGAGGTGGGGGTGGTTGCCCCCGGCTCATCCCGACTCTCTTCCCTTCCAGGGATTCTGCTCCTGGCTCATTTCCATCTACCAGATGAAGTAAGTGTGTGTCCTCGGCATCATGGCCATGCCCCACCGCTGCACACCCCTGGGGAGCCGGTGGCCACAGGTGGTGGCCCATCACCCAGAGCTGCTGGGACCAGCAGCAGAGGAGAGCCCTCTTAAAACATCCCCCCTCAGAGAGAGAGCAGAGAGCTCACCTCTGCGCTTCCTCCTGGCCCCTGGATCTTGTCCCAGAGAAAAGGGTTTCAACCTCTTCTGGTAGGAGCCAGCCCTGTAATGGGATGGCAGCCTGAGAGCTGCTTGTGTCCCTCATTCCCTCTGTGCCCACATCCCACGTGCCACAGGCAGGATGCTATGAGTTGGTGTGGGTTGTGTGAGGCCGGAGCAGCCAGTGTCCCCAGGGCGGGAGGTGGTGGGGCGGCACCACCAGCGCTCACCTCTGCCCGCCTCTCCCCCAGGGACGAGGAGATTCAGAGCAAGTGTGGGATCGATGCCACCACCTACCTCTCCTTCCAGCGTCACCTCCTGGTCCTGCTGATGCTGGTCTGCGTGCTCTCCGTGGCTGTCATCCTGCCTGTCAACTTCTCGGGGGACCTCCTGGGTAGGTGCTTCCCCAGTCATGGGATGGCTCAGGAGTGTGGTGCAAGCTTCCCCAGCCTCAGGGCGAGCACCCTGCTACCGGTACAGAGGGCAGAAGAACCCCTCCATCAGGACCCTCCATGTGAACAGGAACACACCGTCAGCTGTGGGACAGAGGAACAAAAGAGGCAGGGAGCTTCAGGGCAGCGGGGGCTTGGTGGGCACCTGGGAGATGGAAAAGGAGGGAGCAAAGACCAGAGCCACTAACGCTTCAAACATGGACATGCACGAGGTTCCCTTAACCTCCTGCTTCTCCTCTTCCCCTGCAGGACACAATCCCACCCACTTCGGCCGGACAACCATCGCCAACATCCCGACGCAGTACGTGGCTCCCGCATCCTGGGGGGCTGTGGGTGCTGCCGCTGTGGTGGGCACTGCTGGGAGCACCTAGACATAGTGCTCAACACATGCCAGGGACAGGTCCATGTGAGGAGCACACTGCTGGTGGTAGCTCCCATGTCTGTCTGCACTACACGCGAGCACAGTGGTGGTGCCTGGCACGCTGGCACTGCTCGCTGCACCCCACTGCCGGCAGAAGTGCTCTTGGGGGTGCTGGGCGGCCTCATTTCTGTAGTATCTCAGCCACCACCCTGGATGCTGCCCCTCTTGTCCCTGGAGTGGGGGTCTGGCAGCTGGCTCAGGGAGGTCCCGCTGGGCAGTGGGGGTGGCCACGGGTGAGATACTGAGCGCCAGGCTGGTCTGCATGCCACACACCCACAGCAGCACTCACTGATCCCCTCTTCCCCTCCTCCAGGGACCGTCTGCTGTGGCTGCATAGCATCTTCGCCCTCATCTATTTCATCCTCACCATCCTCTGCATGGCTCACCACTCCGTCCACCTGGAATACCGAGAAAATGAGAAGGTGAGCAACCACTCCTCCTCCAAGCCTGCCTTGTTCAGTGCTAATGGACAACTTTGTGCTTTGTGGAAAGGATGGTCCCAGTAGGTAGGGAGAGCTTTAGAAACAGCCTGGGATGGGGCAGGCAGGGAAAGATATGGCCGGCTTTCTCCAGCTTCTGGAGAAAACCTGGCAGCCTGGAGGCATACCTCTCTCTCGTGCTGCCTTGTCTCTTGAGATTGAAGCTCTGTTGTGTCCATCTGTCTGGGAGGTGGCAGTGTCCGGCTATGCCCCAGGGGTCTGGGAGTGGGCATTGAGGAGGTCTGTGCTGACCAGCCTCCGGGGTGGCAGTCAGTGCCCTGACTTGCTTCTGCCTTCCCAGCGCCTGGGCGAGCAGGGTGGCAGCAAGACGTCCCACAGACCCCCTGCCTACCCACCCCACTCTGCCCCTTCTCCTCCCCCAGGTCGCCCGGACACTGATGGTTACCCACATCCCCAAAGAGATCACAGACCCTTCCCTTATCATCAAGCATTTCCAGTGAGTAGTGGTGTGCCACAGCCTCGCTGGGCAGCTGGCAGGCAGGTGGCAGGGGCTGTCCCCGTCGCCCAGCTCCTGGTGCCACCGTGTCCCTGTGCCCACAGCGAGGCTTATCCCAGCTGCACCGTCACCAATGTCCAGTTCTGCTTTGACGTGCGCAAGCTGATGAAGCTGGATGCGGAGAGGTGAGTGTGTGCAGGTCCCCATTGCCTCTGTGGGTGGGTGCGCTGCTCCTGCCCACTATGTCGAGGGACCCAGTCTGTCTGTCTGCCGCTGCCCGAATGACCCTCGCACCTATTGGCTTCCCGGCAGGCGCAAGGCAATGAAGGGGCGGCTTTACTTCACTACCAAGGCGCAGAAAGAGGGGAAGATCATGATCAAAACCCACCCCTGTGCCCGTATCTTCTGCTGCCGCTTCTGTGGCTTTGAGCAGGTAGGAGGGCGCGGGCAGGGCTGCAGGCAGCACATCCCCACCGCGGGCAAGGCAGAGCATGGCAGCTTGCCAGTGCCTCAGCCCGCCGAGCGCAGCAGAGCCCCGGCTGCTCCCGCAGGTGGACGCCGAGCAGTACTACGGGGAGCTGGAGGAGAAGCTCACGGATGAGTTCAATGCTGAGCGCAACCGCATCACACTCAAGCGGCTTGACATGGCCTTCGTCACCTTCCAGGACGAGCGGATGACGGCTGTGTGAGTGCCCTTCATGCGACGGGCACGGGGATGTCCTCCAGCCAGGCAATGGGTCTGCCTCCTCTGTGCCTCTGCCATCTGCGGAGATGGCTGCTCTGTTGGGCTGCGGGAGGGGTCTCACAAGAAGTGTGGGGGTCGTCCTGAGCCCTTGGTCTAGACCTGACCCCTGGCTCCTTCCTCCTGCAGGATTTTGAAGGACTACAGCCACATCCGCTGCCGCAAGCACCCCCAGCAGTCCTCTGTCACCACCGTGGTCAAGTCACACCACTGGGGCGTTCGCTATGCCCCTGCACCCAGTGATATCATCTGGTGAACCCTCATGGTGGGAGGGAGGGAGGAAGCGGGGCGAGCAGCCGGGGGGAACCTGTGCCCCTACCTATAGGGAGCCCATGTATCTGTAGGGAACCTGTGGCCATATCCATAGGGTGCTTTCCCAGGGTGGCAAGGGCTGACAATCCCTCCTGTGGCCGTAGCAGAAGTCAGCAGGGGTGACTAGGCTGATCACCTCATGGGTGGCTGGGCTCAGCCAGGTGAGGTTTGGGGTGATTGCCAGGCTCCTATTTCTCCAGCCTGACTCCAAAGCCTCCTGGCGGTCCAGACCCCCATGTGGCCATTCTCTGGTCCTGGGGGCTCTGCAGGTGTCAGCGCAGCAGTGCGGGGAGGGGGCGAGGGTGGGCTCAGAGCAATGGCTGCCAGGATGGTTGGTGCGGGTATGGGAGGCAGAGCTTCGGGGAGCCAGACTGGGAGGCCCCAGACACATGGCTTTTCCTCCACACCATGTCTGAGTCATGCTTTCCTCTCACAGGGAGAATTTATCGGTCCGTGGCACATCCTGGTGGGTGCGATTCATCCTCCTTAATATCTGCCTCTTCGTCCTTCTCTTCTTCCTCACCACACCAGCCATCATTGTCAACACTATGGACATGTTCAACGTGACACACCCTGTGGAGAGCCTCAAGGTAGTCCCTGTGGCCCTGTGCCAGCTTTCCCAAAGGGTCTCCATTTCCAGGCTTGTCCATGACAGGGGGAGGGCACTGGCTCTACACTAGGCCAAGAAGACAAGCCATCACTGGGATGGGTGTTGATGAAAGGCAAGGAGTGGTCATACCCCTGCTTGCCATCCATCCCCTTGTTTCCAGTGGCAGAGCCCTGGGGCACCTGTGCAAACCTGAGCTTTGGTGCTGGTGTCCATGGGGGAGGGCAGGTTGGTGTCCATGCAAGAGGAGAAGGGTGGGAAGAGCTCCAGGAGCTTTTAGGAGCTGCTAGCAGTGCATTTCCTTCCTGCTTATTGACCTGCGAGCTGTTGGGCAGATACTGGGGCTCAGAGCATGCCCATGGTGCCTTTGGCTGGCCTCAAGCTCTTATCTCCTGAAACAAATGCCCCTTCTCAGGAAGGGGGTGCCCCAGCCCACCTGTTGCAGACACCATCCTGTGCCAGGAGGCCCGGGGAGCTGCCTCCAGCATGGCTGAGCTCCAGCGGGCTCCTGAGGGGGTGTCTGGCATCTCTCCTCCTGCAGAACCCCATCATCACCCAGTTCTTCCCCACACTGCTGCTCTGGGCCTTCTCCGTCTTCCTGCCTTTCCTTGTCTACTACTCGGCATTCTTTGAGTCGCACTGGACGAGGTAATGGGGCTGGCCCCCGAGCTACCCCAGGGCTGCGGTAGTTGGGAGGAACCTCAGTAGGACTCATGGGACCCAACCTGCAGGGAGGCAGGCAGTGCAGCAGCAGACCCCCAGAGAGCCCCGTGGGTGTTGCCCTCCATGGAAAGAGCCCCAAGCCCATGCCCAAAGGAGCCATTTCCTTGCCATAGCCCTGAATGCTTCCGGCCTGCTGACAAAGGCACGTAGAGCCGGTTTTAAGATGGGTCTGAAGAAGTTTGTGAAAGGGATGGTATGATGGTGGACTGGCAGCAGCAGTGCTCCCAGCCCTCCAAGGTGGAGGCATGGGTTCAGGGTGCTTGAAGTCTCCTAGCAGAGCAAGCTCTGCCTAGCTCCTACAACGTGCTCTCTGTCTTGAGCCTCCACTGGCTTCAACCCCTGTCAACCCCTGTGCCTGGTCTGCTGAGTCCTTGCAGGAGCTTTGTCACCATCTCCCTTCCTTCTCCTGGGGAAATGGGGGCTCCTGAACCTCTTGTAGATACCCAGCTGCCTCTTGTTGGGCGTCTACACCAGAAGGGATGGTAGGAGAGTGTAGGTATGAAGGAGGTGAGAGGCTGGGAGGACAAGAGCTTTCACTACAACAGATTCCTCATGGTCACTACCCCTAGTCTGGGAGAGGCTTTGCAAGGCCCCAGGAGATGCATAGATCAAATGCACGTGACTTCGTGGGGTTGGGAGTAACTCCTTGGTGAAGAGCAAGACCCAGCCCAGCCTCTCCCCCCGCTGGCTGCTCTGCCTTGGAAAAGTGCAACGTTCTCCTCTTGCCTCCCCTCTCCGCAGGTCGAGTGAAAATCAGCTCACCATGCACAAGTGCTTCTTCTTCCTAGTGTTCATGGTCATCATTCTGCCCTCGCTGGGGCTGAGCAGGTATGGACCATGCTGCCATGCTCCTCTCCCTGCTCCCCGGCAGCTGCAGTTGCACCTTGGCCCCTTGCCTCCCACAAGCCAAAGGGCTAAAGGCCCACCACCACTGAACCATGGCTGTCTGTGGGGAGGAAGACACTCGCTCTTTAGCCATGCTGAGCTGCTCCTAGATGGTCATGGACAGAAAGCTTCCCTGCGGCAGACGGAGGGAGTGGAGCAGCTTGCCAGGCTGCCACGGCTGACCTGAGGGTGCTGGTGATGCCCTGCTTGGGGTCATCCCTTCAGCAGACCCTGAAAGGAGCAGGTCAGGGATCTGTGTAGCTCCAGCTAGGGCAATCCTGACCATCTGGGAGACGAGCACCCATGCCACAGTGGTCCCATGTGGCAGAAGGGTCTGCTCTGGTGGTGTAGGGTCCAGAGGGTCTTGCCCACCCAGGGCAGGGGGAAGCACGCACCCACTGGGTGCCCCCATGTTGCTCTGCAGCTGCCCCTCTTTCTGAGCTGCTCCTCTTCTCCCCCTTCCAGCCTGGACCTTTTCTTCCGCTGGCTCTTTGACACCCACTTTCTGGACGAGGCTGATATCAAGTTCCAGTGAGTAACAGGGAGCTCCCAGACCTCCCGGGCAAGCAGGAGCACCCTACGCCAGCTCCTGCCAGCTCTCCTAGCTGCCTGCCCGAGCATCCTCTCACCTTCTGCATCCCCGGGGCAGGTGTGTTTTCCTCCCGGACAACGGCGCTTTCTTCGTCAACTATGTGGTCACCTCCAGCCTGATTGGGACGGCCATGGAGCTGCTGCGCATCCCGGGCCTCCTTGTCTACACCGCCCGCCTCTGCTTTGCCAAGTCCGAGCCCGAGCGGCTCCACGTCAAGCGGGTATGTGGCCCTGGTCACCTCTGAGCCTATGTGACCCCCAGCACAGCAGGGACGTGCTCGCTGGAAACTCAGGCCGTCCCAGTCCTATGGGGAGGCTTGTGGAGACTTCTTCAGGCCTTGTGGGGGCTAATGGCGGGAGGCAGTCGTGTTGGCCAGGGTGCAAAGGCAAGTGCAGCCTTTGCAGTGGCAGAGGCAGTAATGACACTTTGGTTGTGCCCCAGAGCCAAGCCTACCAGTTCCAGTTTGGACTGGAGTATGCCTGGACCTGCTGCATCTTCTCCGTTGTCATGACATACAGCATCACCTGCCCCATCATCGTCCCCTTCGGTAAGTACAATCCCATGCCCATGGTCCCGCTGCCCCCGGCCATGCCAAGAACAGCCTATCCCAGCCACCAGCAGCAGCGTGGGAGCACAAGCTTCCCGCATGGTATGGGAGGGCACCCTTGGGCATCATCCCCTGGGCCTGCCCTGCTGTCCCTTTGACCTGGCTGTCCCTGTTGTCCTCCCACCACAAATGGCCTCTCTCCTCCCACCAGGGTTGCTCTACATGCTGCTCAAGCACATGGTTGACCGGTACAACATTTACTATGTGTACATCCCCACCAAGCTGAACCAGCGCCTCCACGTCGCCGCCATCAGCCAGGTTGTGGTGGCCCCCATTCTCTGCATGTTCTGGCTGCTCTTCTTCTCCGTCCTGCGCCTCGGTAGGGAGAGCTTGGGACTTCCCCCGCCACTGCTGAGGGTCACATCTAATGCTTGGGGGGATAAGCCACTGGTGTCACCCCCCCGAATTAGGCATGGCACAGAGGGTGGAAAGGGGGATGGGAAGGGGGAAGGTGTGATGGAGACCTGGCAGATGAGGAGGCTGTCAGCTAGTGTTTTGGGAGGGGGGTTGAAAGCTTGTAAGACCCAAAGCAGGCACCAGCCTGGGGCTCAGCTGGACATGCAGCAGGTCCTTGGAGGCTCATATGCTGCCCCAGTGTCTCTGTGCTCTAGGTCCCACCCGCCCTGTCACCCTCTTCACCTTTGTGGTCCTCCTCTCCTGCATTGTGTTCTCCTTCTTTGGCCTCTGCCTGAAGAAGCTGCAGCCGCGGAAACCCTCCAGCTACCAGGTGAGTGCAGGCAGCCGCCTGTCCCGTTCCCTTGCCCCGCTTCGTCCCCTCCTTGCCTCTCTGGGGTGCGTTTGCTGTGATGAGTCAGGTGGCGCCTGGCTGGCCCCCGGCATCGGCTGGGGACTCCCAAACAGTCGTTTCCTCCCGGCCCCCCTCTCCCCAGATGTCTGACCAGTCTGAGGGCGCCTTCAATGATGTGGAGCGGAGCAGTGTTTCCTCCACCCCCAACTCCAATGTGAGTACCCCTCCCCAGCCCTGCCGTGGCCACCCCTCCTTGCTCCCCTGGGTCCTGACCCCCCACGGCCCCCCGGGGCAGCTCTTCGTGGCCACCGTCCTGCAGGAGCCCGAGCTGAGCCTGACGCCGGCGGCCTCCCCGGCGCACCAGTCCTACGGCACCATGGGCAACCACCTGGAGCCAGCGGAGGATGGGGAGGACGGGGGGCTGCAGAGCTTCGAGACGGAGCTGGAGACAGTGGAGGGCGAGTACAGGAGCGGCCCCGTGATGGAGAGCCAGGCCCGCTACCAGTGAGCACCCCCGTCGCTGGGGCAAGGACCAGCTGTGCCGAGAGCGGAGGATGTGCCAAGGGGCAGGAAGGAGCCTTCCCAGCACTGGTGGGGGCCACCTCGCTGATGGGGCGGGGGGACGACAGGACTGATGTGAGGGGGAGACCCCATTGCATGGGAGGTGGTGGGAGGCTCTGCTGGTCCCTCCTGCTGCCTGGACCGGCTCAGCCTCCCCCCTGTTCCCACATCCCCACCTGCCTCTTCCAGCCCATCATGGGGAAGAAGGGATGCAGCGGTGTGGGGAGAGGGTCTCTCTGAGAGGCCATGCTTTTGGGGGCAGGAGGGAGGCCCTGGCCCCTCCGTGAGGGGGAAGCAGCCCAGACAGCTCAGACGAATGTGCCCGCCACCACGCTGTCCCACGGGTCCTCAGTGGCAGGGGACGGCCACCCCTAACCCTCGCTTCCCACCCCTGCTCGCAGCGGCCGTCCCGCTGCCTCCCCTGGTGCCGGCTGTGCAGGTTCTGCCCACCCCCGCTGCCTCCCCCAAGGCTTTGCCGGTTAAAGCGGGGACTGCTGAGACCTGTGTGCTTCGGTGGGAGGTGAGTGCTCAGGGCTGCTCCCACGTCTGCCTGAGCACCAGCAGCCCTGCCCTGAGGCAGGCATCAAAACGCAAGCCCAGCCCTTCCCCACCCTCCCACCCCATCCCTCCGCTGCCACTGCACCATGCCTGCACCCTTGGGTCCACGGGGAGGAGCGCGAGATCAAGGGATGAGTGTGTTTAATGGCTGTGAGGGCAGCTCCACGTCATCCCGCCTTGCCCAGCAGTATCACCCTCATGCTCTCCCTGGGGCTGGCCATGGGACCCTGCATGGCTCCATCCTTTTGCAACAAAAACGGGGAGGGCAGTGCTGGCAGGACCCCGGCCTCCAGGTCCTGGTCCACCGCATCCTGCCCTCACCCACAAGTCGCAGCCATGGGATGCTCCCCCAGCAGCCGCACCACCTCCCAAGTGTGAGTCCTGCTGTGATCAGTATAAATGCGCCGGCTCCTGCCTGGGCAGCATCCTGGGGTTGTCCAGCTCATCCGCAGCAGCTGTGGAGGCCCCTGGAGATGAGTGCAGATCCTCGCCCTACTTGGCCCCTCTCCCACCAGGCTAGCCCACCTGGGTATGCTGACTCCTTGCTTGGCCCCGCTTTGGCCTCGGGGTTGATTTTCCTCTAATTTTCCTGCTCCTGATTTTCCTGCTGGCTTCAGAGCAATTCTAGCCGCCATCCCGGGGCCATCCAGGGAGGGAAGGGACGACGACGCAGCTCTGCTGGCACTAAGGCTGCCAGCGTGGGGAGCGCTGCTGTGTGAAGGCAGACGCTTGGCCATGGCACCACTCAGCATTACTGGTGCTGCATGGTTGTTCCAGTCTGGGGCAGGGGGATTAAAAGGCAGCCCAGCAGCGAGCTGTGGGTCTCTGTTGGACTCAAGTGGGCCCTGGGACATCCCTGTGGGGCTTGGTGGGTCATGGCTCAGCCACCTGGCAGTGCTGTGGTCCCCATCCCATGTTCCTGCATGCTGGGATGATGGCTGTGGCACACTAGCTGCCAAGTGGTTGCCTCGGGGGACCCTTGAGCTCAGCTGCTTCCTCCCAACCCCCAAAAGCACCCTGGGGGGCTCACAGCTCCCTGCCCAGATGCCCGCGGGGCTACCCACAGTTCAGCCGCTGCCCTCACTGCCTGCTCCAGGGGCAGCCCCGGCTGGAGCCGGGGGGATGCTGGTGGCCTCTCTCCAGGTGGAAGCAAGTGCCTGCGAGCAGCACCACGTCCTCGGGAGCTCGGGCTGCTGGTCCGATTGCCCTTGGCTGCCCCGCTGTAGGAATGTGCCAGAGGTCTGTACCTTCTCGTGATTTATTGCTATGACCGTGCCTTGAATAAAATTACTTCACCCAGCCGCTGCCTAGTGTTGTCACCCTCGTGCGTCCTGCCCGGTGCCAGGAGAGGGGGGACCCTCGCCACTGGAGCCTGTGAAAATACTCCAGCCCCTTTCCCCACCTGCAGGCTGCTTTTGACCCTTCTTGGGGATATCCTGCAGAAACTTCAGTGGCGAGGAGACCATTTGGCTACCTACCCACCTCCAGGCACCTTGCCACCCACCACGTTCCCCACAAAAGCAAACCTAAGTGAGTGGGCAGATGCAGCAACGGTGCGAGAGCAGGGGCGTGCTCTGTTGTGTCCCTTTGGAAAGGCTGGCTCAGCCTTTGGCACTGTCCCCAACATCGGGGAAGGGGTGCAGCCCTGGGACAGGCATGTGCCTCCCCTGCCCATCCTCTGCCAGTGCTCGCCCCACAGGCTCAGCTGGCTCAGGACACCACCAAAAAGGGGCACACACTGCCTGGCGGGAGCAGGATGGTGGCCTGGAGCTCCTCCGGGACCACAGCAAGGAGCGGAGGGACCTATCCCATCTGGGGATGGAGCAGATGTTCCCAAAGCTGAACTGCCCACCAGCAAGTCCCAGGGAAGGGGGTGAACACCATTTTGGGAGCCTTTCTCTAGGTTTTGAGCAGACAGTGCTCTTTTGCTCCCCTCCTCCCTCCCAAAACACAGTCTTTATACCCAAATTCCTACTTGACTGAGCTGTGTCTGGTTTCAACAGGTCCCTCTGGCCAGCCCCTCCACGGCTCCCAGGGAGCAAACCCTGCCTGGCCAGCCTGGCTTATGGCACAGGGAGGACTTCCCCTTGGGTGAAAAACTGGAAAATTTAAAAACCCACTCCCCTCACCACACACCCGCACAGAGCCCCCCCACGATTTGTAATCAGTGGGAAACGGGCTAAACACAGGGCCTTGCTGGTGCCAGTTTGCTGAGGCAGGAGCCCTGGCTGTGAGCAAGGGCTGTAATTGCCCTCCCCAGCTGGCGGCTCTCCTGGTCCTTGCAGGGGAAGCTCATTACAGCCTAACAAGCTTGTGTAAGCCTCATCATGCTGTCCCTCCACCACTCCAGCCATCAGAAACCCGCCCTCCTGATTACAGCCTGCGCATACAAAAGTCCCTCACAGTCGGGGCCAAGCAATTGCATGGCGTCTCCCACTGCGTGGGCTGGTGGTGGGCAGTGCTGGGAGCATCCCCGCCGGGCAGCAGCCAAGGCAAAGGGGCGGTTTGTGGGAGCCGTGGCAAACCTCTGCGCTGGTGCAGGGGGTCGAAGATGGGGGTGCTGCTGGGGGGTGCCGTGCTGGCCCTTCCCTGCAGCGCTGCAGTTGGGCTCGACTGCCAGCCCTGAGGCTGGCAGCTGTGCTCCAGGCCAGGAAGAGCTGGAAAATTTATTTTAGCAATGAACCACAAGGAGGATTTATTTGCGTCAGATGTCTGCTGCTCGCCTTGCCCTTCGCAGCCCGTTGCACGTTGCCCTACAGAACATGCCCCATCCTAAACATTGCCCAAGGCAGAGCAGCACGGCTTTCCCGGGATGCTCACCATGCTCTCCTGTGGCAGGGCTGGGATTTCCAGCCCTCAGGTGATGCTATTACAGACCCTGAGCTGGCTTGCCTGCTCTAGGGACCATCTTTCTTCAGTGCGAAGTGCCCAACACTCCCAGGGCTGGAAACCCACTGTGTCACAGCTAGAATCTGCCCCGAGAAGTGGGAGACAGGACCTCCTGCATCCCCACCAGCTGCTCCCTGGGGCAGGGCTGCTGGCAGGGTGGATGCTGCATGGAGCTGGGCAGGACTTTGCTGCGAGGCCATGCCGGGCTGCTGCGGGCAACCAGCAGCGGGTGACCAGCAGCAGGTGAGCCTATGCTATCTCAAAGAACAAAAGTAACAACTGAACAACAGAAACGGGATTTTTAGGCTGATTGCTTAAAATGCTAATTCTATTAGAGATCGTTAAATTTGGAGGGTAACGAGCAATCAGCAGCAGGACACCTTTGCTAGCCCCTCCGCTGCTCGCCCGTTCAATTACAGTGCACAAAAGCTCCCAACAGACATTGGTGCTGCATGCCCTCTCATGTCAGTCGAGCTGGACTACACAAGCACTCCCAATGACCAATATCTCCACAGCTAGGGCCAACAAGAAACCAGTAACCCCCTCTCTGTCAACCTTTTTTTTTTTGTTTGTTTGCTTGGGCCTTTTATATTAAAATAAACATAAGGCAACAAAAAGGGCCAAGACTCACTGTTGCTCTTTATTAAACAGTACAGCTGGGTATAAGAGGCACACAGGCTAGTTCAGTTCTCTTGGGAGTTACACGAAACATGGTACAGAAGAGAAGTCAAGGAGCTGGGAAAGCTAGAGGGAGCAGGGATGGTTTGGGGCAGTAACACCCACACCACACCCATCACATAGCTGCCTACTTGTCACACACAGCCAGAAGGTCCCCCCTGTGATGCTGATGGCCCAGAACAGGGTTGCAAATAGGACGTCCCCATTCCCAAATCCTCCTACCCCATCCCATGCCGTAACAGCTAGCCCCTCCTCCCAGCCCCGGCTCCTCCATCCCTCACTGCCTGGCACGAGAATGGGGAGGACCTCACCTGACCCAGCTGATGGAGAGACCCATGGGCCAGGATGCACAACACCACACTGTAGGACTGCAGGAGCAGAGCCTGGTGCCACAGGGAGGACAGCGAGCATCCTACATGGGGATGTTCACTGCCTGTTCCACAATACCTGTCAGCTCCCCTCCCAGACACTGCTGGAGGTTTCTTGCTTGCTGGAAGCCCATGACCACCACCAGGCCTGGTGGCAGGGAAGCAGACCCCCATCTCACAGGGCACCTCATCATCCCCTCCGTGGCATGGGGCTGGGAGACCTCAGCTGCAGCTGCGAGGAGAGGGCAGCCCTCTCCTGCCCCAGAGTGGAGGACGTCTGAGTATAGGAGGAATGTGTCTCCAGAACAGGACCATCTCGGCCCTCAATGCTGGGGTCCTCCTGCCCTGAAGGAGCAGCAAAAAAGGGCATTGCCTGTAACTGAATACTTGCTCCATGTCCTTGCCCTGGGGCTAGTGATGGCTGGAAACACGGTTCTGCCTGTCCCACAGCAACTTCCCCACAAAGATGAACTCTTCTTCAAAGTGCTCAAGCTCAGCTCCCCCCAGAGCCCTCAGGTGCTGCCTCTCAGCCATTTCCTGGGATTTCTTCCAGCAGATGCTGTCTTCTCACTCCTGTCCTGACACAGCACTGCTGCACATACCTAAGTGGGTGCCTCACTCTGCTCCAAAGCAGCTGTGTCTCAAGTATGGCTGGGAGGGATTACTAAAGGCTGAGGAGCTCTGCAGATGGGCACTCTGTGCAGCTGGAAAGCGCTCCAGGTCCTGACAGCATCAGCAGAGATATTCCAGCTCTGCTTCCTCTGGCCAAGAGCCAGAATGATTTCTGGAAACTGTTGCCATGACATGATTGCAACCTTCATTTTTATTTTAAGACTTCTTTTCCTTGTATTTACTTTATTCTCCTTAACACAAAGCAGTAAAGAGCCACCACTGCTGCTGCATTTCAGCTGGCTCTGAGGTTAAACCAACCAGCCCAACCAACACAAGATTTTCAGCTGGCAGCCCACACCTGCTAAAAGCAGCCTCACCTCGGGATTAACGTGACCCTGCTGCCTGAAGCATCCCTAGGAAACACACTGAGTTGTGGCCCACCTGACACGAGGAAAAGCCGTGGATCCCATCCAGGGGAGAGGCAAGGCAGAAGAGAGCACCAGGATTAACCGTCCGGTAGCGACGTGTTGGTGAAGTGAGAGGGGGAAAATCTCCCTACAAGGTTTGGGGAGGACGGCCACACAGCACAGCTCCCACCTCTGCTGCCCCTGCCCCTGGAGGGAGCCAAACCTGCCATTGCCACAGCTGAACCAGGCACAGCAGTGCAGGAGTGAGCAGTGCCAGACCTGGCAGGTCTTGAGCATGGCAAACAGGATCTTGGGCAAATAAGCCCAAGAGGCCTACGCTAGCTGTGATCTAACTAGGGTGGGTAGCAAGAGGAGGGAAGACAAACCAGCTAAAAACCAGAGTAGGTACATGGGTGTTGGTGCTCCGGGTAGCCCGAAGGAACTTGGCAGGGCAGTGTACCTGTGGTGTGGCACTCCTAGGCTTCGCTGCAGAGACGTACCCTGCCAGCCCTTAGCAAAGGCAGAGACGTGGTCATGTCGAAGCAAGGCAGAATCACTGGGAGAGCTCCAAAGCACACGTGACTGAAGGAAACAGCGATGGGCTGGCGCACAGAGAAAGACAGAGGTGGAGAGAGGCAGAGAGCATGGCGTGAGTGCTCCTTCTGCCCAGGACTGCTGCGTGGTCAGGGACGGGGTTGGCTGGCAGGATCTAGTCCCCTTCTGGGAGGGTCTCCCAGCCACGTTGCATGGCTTTCACCACAGCACTGTAGAGTTTGCTCCAAGCCTCCCGCACGTCTGGGCTGAAGGCAGCGCCAAGGCATTTCTCCAGCATGTACAGCAAGGACTCGCCGACAGTCTGCAAACCAAACAGGGAGGTGTCAAGCTCAGCACCAAGTGATGACACACAGCCCCATCTCTTGCTTCACTGCCTTTTTGGACTTCTCCCATTGCAGGGCAGCTGCTCCTCATCCACCAACGGGGCCAGGCCACCCCATCCCTGGCTGCTCAGAGGGGGCCCAGAACCAGCCCATGCTTTTCCCTGCCCTATGCTGGCCCTTACCCCACACCCTGGGTGAGTAGGGAGCACAGGCAGGGAGCAAGGGCTGACATCACGCATGTAACGCCAGGGGAAAGGTACACGTCCATCTTCTGTGGCTCTCAGATGCGAGTAGCCAGCCCATCCCCTGACATAGCAGCAGATCAGCAGAGCTGAGCAATGCCCTGATGCCAGGAGAGTGGGCCAGACCCCAGACTGGATGCTGAGGGCCTGCCTCGCCACCTCTCAGGTCTCTCCACAGGGCACTGCTGCTCATGGAGCTGCGAGCAACCCCATCCAGGAGCACCCACACACTGAGCACAGGGCTGGTGGGGATCACTACCCCAAGCAAAGGGGACCCTCCTCCCTCTGAAGAGGACCAAAGCTAGCAGTATCAGGAGGGAGCCATGCTTTGGTTAGAAATCTTTCCTTCAACCTGCCTTTCTCTGCTGCGTAATCCAGCATTTCTCTCCATGCCTGATGGGAGGAGAGGAGTAAGCAAGGATTTAATATGGAGGATACTCCTGTCCTACTGCCATGGAGGAAGCAGAGGCTGAGGTGCAGCAACCCCAACCCAGTGCAGATACAGAGAGAGGTGAATGCTCCCTTTCCCAGGTGCAGTGAGATTTGGCTGGATACTTTGATGCAGAGAACCAGGACCCAGGACAAAGTCTGAGCCCGCAGCCCTGTGTCGCAGGAGAGACTGCAGTGCCCCAAACCATGGTGCTCCTCAAAAGGGGGAAATGCCTTGGTCCCCTCTGTCCTTTCTCCCTGGGCTTATGGGCGGAGGGCAGAAAATGAGGAGAGCTCAAGGGTTTCCCTGATTGAGCCAATGTCACTATGCAGGTATCTGCAACTCAGGGGCTGCCCTGAGCCACCAGCTTTCTCTCCAGCCAGCTGAACCCAGCAGGTGGGCGCAGAGGGATGGGGTCAGCTGAGGGCTGCAGGCACAGCTGCACAAACACAGCCACAGTGGGACAAGAGAGGACGCCTCACCGAGAAAGACTCCACCTTCACCCCAACTGCCTGGTGCTTCTTGCCAAGGTTGCAGAGATACTCTTCCAGGCAGGACAAGTTCTCCAGGTGGCTCACAGCAGCATCGATCACCAGCATCACCTGCAGGAGCACAGAGGCAGAATGGCATTAGCAGCAAGGCTCTGCTGCCCTCCCAGAGGAACAAAGAGTCTGACCCCTGCACTTCACCCTTCTCAGCCTGACCACCTCCCAGCCCAGCAGATGCCCTCTGAGCTTTCCTTCACTCTGCTGTGATCCATGTGTCACATCAGTGAGGTATGCTGGCAGCAGCATACACCACATCTTTCTATGGGACACTGCCAGAAGTGCCAGAGCAAGCAGCACTGCTGACCTCCCTGTCCCAGAGGCAGTAAACTGCTCAACCCTATAGCAGAGCAGTGATGGGGTAAGCTCTAACACTGATGCAGTCATTACAGCTCTTAGGACCCCAGGACAACTGCAGGCAAGCCCTGGAAGTTGCCAGGACTAGAGTTTCTGACTAGAAGTTGCCAAGAAGGTGCAATTGTGAATAAGGCAACTCCAATTCTAAGATCAGCCAAGGAGGAGATGGGGTGGATAGTACAGCCAAGAGACCTGGTTTGGTAAAGCACATACCACTGTGGTCTCCCAGGAGCACGAAGAGTCAAATGGAAACAGGAGAGAGAAGGGTTAAAGAGGGATGAAGGGAACAGACACACCAAATTAGAAGAGATTAAAACCAGGGCATGGTTAGCTTGGCAAAGCCAAGAGGTGATAGAATTGCGCTCTATAATTTCAACAGGAAAATTATCTCCAACAAGAGCAAAGAGCTATTTCAGCTCAGGGCAATAATAGCAGAAGTAAAAATGGACTTAACTTTGCCAATCAACAGAGGCTGGAAAATAACAAAAAAGCTTGCAGCTATCAGAGGAGCACAGTCCTGAAACAGCCTCTTAAGAGGAATAAAGACAGGCAAGTGAGGTACCAAACTGGTTTAAAGATGGAGCCAGACAGTTTATGAAGGCATCTGCAAGCCAAGGCTGTGCTCTACCCCGGTGTGGCCGCTATTTAGGGCTCAGCAAAGGGTCTTTGCTGCACTGGGTATAGTTCTGTCCATGCATGAGCTCCTCCAGGTGACATCAGCATTGCTCCTCTCCCTGTTTTGGGGGGAGGCAAATGGGTATCACAGCACTCCCCCAGAGGTTATCCAAGAGATGCTGTGGGCCTTTGGGCTCTACAACCCCACCAAAAGCCTCTCCACAGCAGTGAGTCCATGGAGCCTGGCCCACTGCCCAGCTCTGTGCCACCTCTCAGTCAGCATGTGGCCAAGCAAAGGGCTTCAGTCCTTGTCTGGACAGAAGCGAGCTCACTGAAGCACTTCCGCAGTAGAAGAAGGGGGCTTCCAACCTTCGCAAGAGGCGATCCACTCCCAGATGAGGGCATGGAAATCAGGATGGTGCTTCTTACCCACCGCAACCCGCATCCTCATCCCTTCCCCAATGTTGTAAGGCACTTTGCCCTGGCAATAGCACCTTCTGCTAGCATGAGTAAACCCCCTGCAGTTACCATCGCAGGAGGAGACTTCCCATGTGTTCCCCAGTCAGGCACCCCACAGTCCCAAGCCATCGCCTAAGGGCTTCCACCTCCACTGGGGGCGGGGGGGGGCTGCACTTCGGCCATGCCACAGCCCCTCTCTCACCTTCCTGATGTGATCCAGGAACTCGGGGGTGGAGAGGCACTCCTGAGGGCTGGCAAACTGCTTGCAGTTGTACTGGAAAAGGGGCAATAGGTCAGGGTCCAAGTCAAACAACCTGCAACAGCAAGAGAGAAACCCCCATCTTCTCACTAACTCAGCTTTATTTAGGGTCTTGCTCACCCCAGGAACAACCTCATCAGTAGCACACCCGCAGGCCTCCCTCTGCCTCCCTTCCTACCTACTGATCCCTCCCCACCTGTAAAGGACCCAGAGGTTCTGAAAAGTCTTAGTTTGGGGCAATCCAGGTTACCTATATTCCAAAAAGTCTCTATTTCCCTAGCCCACAGCCCCAGCTCTCAGACATGTGTTTATGGCACCTGAGGACCAGTCCCAGCTCGCCAGAGTTCCTCCCAGCCTGGCCTTTCTTCCCAAAGTCTTGGCTGTTGTCTCAACTCTTCCCATTCCCGCTTCACGATCCCCTTGAGCCCCAAAGCTCCCAAATCCAGGGAAAGCCTGCAAGCTCCAGCAGCCGGCTTTCCTACTGGAGCAAGGGGGGCACGTACAAACTCAGCTAATGCCCCACTCTCCCACACCATCACCAGCTCCCATTCCCCCCCCCCCATCCTCCCTGCCAGTGTATGCCAGGCACATATGCAGCCACCCAGGCAGATCTAACAGGCTGATGCTGTCCACGGAGGCCAAAGGGAATTCAGGCAAGACCGCCTCTCTTCCCCTCATCCTGCACATTAAACTACCGCATCTCTCTCCCCTCCGCTAAAACTCCCAAACATTCCCGCTGCTGCTCGCAGCCCTGCTCTGCGAGGGTTGGCTCCTGCCCTGCTCCCGAAGCCGACCGTCAACTCTCCAACCGTCCTTTTTAAATGACTTTTCACAGATCTTCCCCTTCTTCTCTTCCCATAATCGAGACATTAATCTGTCCAGGAGAGGCAAGGAGCTGGGTTTCAGCCGCCGCCCGCGGCACACGTTTGCTCTGCCCTCCGACCGAACGCCTGCCCAGCGGCCGGGTCTTCGCCTGGGGCTGCGGAGCGCCCTGTCGGGGGCAGCGAGGAGCTCCCTGCGATGCGCTCCCCAGAGCGGGGCGGGCGCGCAGCTCTTCAGACAGCAGAAGTAACGCTGACGAGACGGCGGATCGGCGGGCAGGAACGCACAAGACCTGCCCGCTGCCTCTCTCCCTCACCCTCCGTCTCCCCGCAACAAAGTTCTCGCTCCCGGCGGCTGGGAAAGGCCTTCCCCCCGCCGCTGCCCCACGGCGGCCGCGGCTTCGCGGTGGAGGGGCTTTAGCCCCGCGCCGCTCCCGCCGACCGCCAGCCCCGGGGAGGGCAGAGAGGGCGGGGAACCGCCAAGCGAAGGCAAGCGCTTCCCTCCCGAGAAGCGGACCCCGTCCTTCCCCGGCTCCGTCCGGGCGGGCGGCGGGGCTGGCCCGCCGGCGGCCGCATCCCCTCCCTACCGCCCCGCTCACCTGCTGAAAAGGACGAGGCCGTGCTGTACGGGGCTGCCGCTAACCCGCTGCCAGCTCTCCCGGATCAGCGCTCGCTGCCTGCCAGACAGCGGCATCCCGCTCTCCATGGCGGAGGGGGCCGCCGAGCGGCAGCTGCCCGCCCCTCGCTCCGCCGGGGGGGGGTCCCCACCCGCGCCCGCCCGCCCGCCCCTCGCTCCGCCA